TTTGCATGGATTCATTTGGAGAATGGTGAGGGAGTTTGTCTTGCAAACTTTGTTTTATTTTGCACCATTCATCGTGGCTGATATATGTATTATATTGTACAGGTTTGTACGTTTTGTGAGCACTCCAGAGGTATTGGAACGTGTGTACACCTTAGAATCTGAGATATTGCAGATTGAGGAGGCAATTGCAATTCAAGGAAACAATGAAACGGCACCTAGCACTGTAAGTATAATTCGTCGGTTGAAAGGAACTGATTTCTATGTGGTATTGTGTCAGAAAGGTCAATATCAGTTATTTTGTATATGGCAGGTAGAAGAAAGTCCAGCAAAACCAACGGAAAGTATTGAAGGTACCGTGAAAAGGGGACGCGAGGTGGGAATTTAATATGTAGGTTGGCCCGAGGGTCGGGGATTGTGTTATAGGAGTTAGGAAAACTGGAAAAGGAAGAAGCTTTCTTTTACTTGTTTTCTAAAAGCTTATTTTTGTACATAGCCCTTTCCACCACATATGTCCCTCCTATTTTCAAGGGAAAGTTTTTGTTACCTAAGTTTTGTACCTTGCATAATCTTATTTCTTTTCTATTTGTTATTTGAAAAACTAAACGTTCAATCTTTAAATTGGTTTTTCAATAGCTTCCAATGATTTTGGACAGGTAACAGATCTTTGCTGGACAGTGGTGATGAGAAAGCAATCGTTCTTTACAAGGTGAGAAAGAATTACAGAGCCACCATTGATTTGGTTTTTTGTTCAAATAGTTTTTGATGCCATTTCTTTGGACGCCTACAGCCGGGAGTGCATCCACCTGAATCAAATGGATCCGCTGCACAAGAGGGGAATTCAAAGTAAGTACTATTTCTTAAAAATTCGTCGTATAACTGCTTTAAAAACCTGAAAAAGAAACTACTATTATCAATGTAGATTGTTAGGTGTTTCTCTGACTCTGGATTATTTGTCGACAGTGTAGTGATCAGCTTAAATTTCTTATACTTCAAAGAGGTTTTACATCTTTTAACTTCCTGCTACTCGATGTGCATAATCAATAGCCAAGTATAATTTTGAGCCCATCATGCTTTCCATAGTA